CATCTTCTGTATATTTAAATGACCTTTCCCTCAGATATTTGCCGGCTTTCTGTATTGTCAAACTTTTACTTAAAGTGGTACCATATTTTAAATTTGCATTAATTAATCACTAGTTTAGAAATCTTTATATTTTTGTTGAGCATTGCCTCTTTTCTGAATTTTATATTTATGTTCCTATTTTTCTATTGAATTGTTTGCTTTTTTCTTTTTGGTATAGTGACAGTCTTTATATATTGTGGATATTGTTTGTCTGCTGCAAATATTTCTCCCAGTTTTACAACTGTGTTTAACTTTGTGTATGGTATTTTTACTACGAAGACTCTTAATTTTGATGTAGTCAGGTTTATTTTATTTTTGGGTGTAAGAAGGCATTCCTTGTCCTAAACATAGTCTATATTTTATTCTGTTTTATACTTTTTTTTTCTTACTGTTAGGATCTTTAATCCCATCTGGAATTTTTGTTAATTGTATGAGATGAAGCAATATTATTTTTTCTAGTTTTTAGCTGCTTAGACTGACCTCATTTGTTGAGCCTGCTAACTTCTTGCTAATCTAAAAAGATTTATTCAGCCTTCTTGCTTTGCTATTACATATCTTTACCCTAAGGGATCTTATCTCTTTCCAAGATACCAATATGCTGACGCATGTTGATGATGCTCAATCTTTTCTTGAGTCCTGACCACACATTCCATTCATCAGTTGCTGAAACCAGAAACCTTGCTTTATCCGGGATTCCTCTCTTTACCTCAAAGCAAATCCTTCAAATTATATATAACATTCAACCTCTGCCACGGTAATCACCCTAGTCTGGGCCACCATTATGTTTTACATGGATTCCTGCAGCATCCTCCTCCCCAGTCTCTCTGCTTCCTGTCTTGCTCCTCAACCAGCAGCCAGAATGATCTTGTTAAATATGAATCAGATCATGTCACTCCTCTGACTCAAAGCCTCCACTGGCTCCACTGCTTCTTGGGGCCTTGGACCATCTACTCCCTTTGCCTAGAATACTCTTCCCTCATACATTGGCATGGCCAAGTTTGTCCCTGAATTCCAGTCTTTGCTCAGATGTCAACTTCTCATAAAACCTACAATGAAACTGTAGTCCAATCTTAATCTATCCTGTTCTGTCTATATTTCTGCTATGTAATTTATAATCTCCTTTACATAGCATTTGTTTTCTATTATTTTTATTGTTTATTTTCTATCCCCCTGCCCCACTAGAATATAAGCACCACACAGCAGGAATTTTGTCTGTCACTGATATATCCCAAACACTAGAAGAGTGCCTAGAATGTCTCAGGTATTCAGTATTTTTTTGAGAGAACAAATGAATGATTGAACAGCCTATTGAATATTTCCTTGCACCACAGTCATTTCACACTCAACCCATACAAAATTCAGTGTATTAATTTTCTGCCAAAATTATGTCAATGTCCCTCAACTCCCTCTTACTCTCACCCTGAAAATTCCCTCTGCAATCTCTCACCAAGTCCTGTTCATAATCTCTTCTCTCCCTACTGCTTCCCCATGCCCACTTTTAACTACCTAGTTAACAATGGCTGTGAACTACCTGGTTCCAACCCGCATCTTTAATGTTTGCTGCTGTTGCCACTGAATTATCCAAACATTTCCAAGCCTCTAATCTGTCCTCGGTTCCCTGGATGGCGCAAACAGTTTGTGCTCAACTACTAACCTAAAGGTTGGTAGTTTGAACCCACCTAGTGGTGCTGCAGAAAAAAGCCCTGCTGATCTACTTGCATAAAGAGATTACAGCCAAGAAAACCCTATGAAGCAGTTATACTCTGTAACACATGGGGTCACCATGAGTTGGAATTGACTTGACAGCAACAGGATAGTCTGTCCTCGTTTGATTCTTTCCTCACATGACAGCCAAAGCAATCTAAAACCCAAGCATAAATTTGTCTTTTCTGCTTAAAATCTTTCCATGGCTTTCCACTGTATTTAAGACACTGTCCAGTCTATTAAACCATAACCCCTTGCTGTGGAGTCAATTCCAACTCATAGTGGCCCTATAGGCCAGAGTAGAGCTGCCCCCGTAGAGTTTCTGAGGAGTAGCTGGTGAATTCAAACTGCTGATCTTTTGATTAGCAGCCGAACTCTTAACCACTATGCCATCAGGGTTTCTATCCAGTCTACAGTATATGGTTTATAAGCATATCCATGATCTCCCCCTGCTTAGCCCTCCAGCCTCATCTTCAGCCATGCCTCCTTGCAAATTGTTCCAGTAGATCCTGTTTTATCTTCCTTACTTGCTTGTGTATATGTTTTGTCCTTGGTCTGCAATGCTCTTCTCCTTTTGGTGCCTAGTTCTGACACATAAAGGCAGAGTTCAAATTTCAAGTTTCAGTCTTAGATAGATGTCCCTCCGTCCTGCTCCCATACTCTTAGCACTTGTCCCTTCTGTTGGAATCATTGATTTACCAATCTCCCTACTATATCATAATCTTCATAGTGGTCCTTCAGCTCTGAATTCCAGTGCCTAGCACAGTATAGTGTATATAGTCATCACTAGCAAAAAAGAGGAAGACCTTCAACTAGATGGATTGACGCAGTGGCTGCAACAATGGGCTCAAGCATGGCAACAATTGTGAGGATAGCCCGGGAGTGGGCAGTGTTTTGTTCTGTTGTGCATGGGGTCACTATGGGTTGGAGCTCCCTCGACGGCACCTAATAGCAACAAGACAAATGTTAAACAATCATACAAAGACCAGCAGACAACGCATAATACTTTCCCTCATCTTTAAATGGCAATTTTTAGTTATGGGATGCCTTAAAAAGTTGAATTTTTGACAACCTACATATAGCGAAACAAGCATGGATATTTAGAGTCAGATGGAGCCCTGGTGGTGCAGTGGTTAAGCATTTGGCTGCTAACCAAAAGGTCGGCAGTTCCAATCCACTAGCCGCTCCTTGGAAACTCTATGGGGCGGTTCTACTGTGTTCTATAGGGTCACTATGAGTTGGCATTGACTCGATGGCAATGGGTAGACCTGGGTTAAAATTCTAATTTTGGTAATTTGCTATACATAGTGAGGGAGAAATGATCATAGACTCTGGAATCATTCAGTTTTAACTCCTGAATCTGTCTTCTTTACTAGCTGGGTGGCCTTAGGCAAGTTTCTTAACATTTTTCTGCTTCTATATTGATATGAATTTAACAGCAATTCCTGTATCTTAGATTTATTTCAACGATTTCTTTTTATTCTATCAACCGATTTAAGATTGCTTATTTTTCCTATTAGACCTCCTCTAAGGTATCCATAAAATAGGAGATAAATGTACTCAGGGACTTATTCTTGCCTTTTTTTTTTTTTTTTTTTTTTAACCATCAAGATGTTAGACGTGCTAAGGAGTATGTAACAGCCTAGTCGTAGACTTACCATTGGTTACAGAGCAGTAGTCTGCTTAGGCACTTGCTGTTCCCATCTTTCTTCCTTTGTTCTCAGGCCCAAAAGGCTTCCTGTCCTCTCTGGGAGAGGAGTGAGTGTGAAGGGGTGATTTTATGACGTCCAAATTAATAGGGTTGCTATGAGTTGGAATCGACTTGAGGGCAGTGGGTTGGGTTTTAAATTAAAAGAAAAAATAAAATTTAAGGTTTGGTACCCTAATTTAGCATTTTTAGTTTTTATTAGAGAGATCATGTCCTATTGTGTGAGAGATTACATCACCCTGTCCTCACCTCTCCTAACGCTAATTCCCGAAATGCCATCCCTTAAAGTAAAAATACCGTTATAAGTTCAGAAGTCAGCACTTGTACCCAGTAAGTGATGCTGCTTGCTTCATCCAATTATCCAGGCCCCAGAAACCTTTACACCGTTATATCTGGTTCTACCAACATAGCACCATTCCTACAAGTCATTCCTCTTCCAAACTCAATTGAAAGCACAAACTACACATTAGTGTCAGACAAAGTGAAATGAACAAATCTCTTGCTATGTGTATATATATATATACATATATATATACCAACCAAATGGGGCAGTTGACAAATAAAGAAGAGACAAGAAGGAAAGGCCAAACTGCCTGCTCCAATACTGGAAGGAAACTCTCCAAGAGCTTTCCTTTACTGGAATGAGGAGTGAACTCTGGGGTTCAACAGACTGAATCCAGACTCAACAAGCTTTTAGAGGGTAATTTTACAGAAAGAAGGATGGAGCTGGAACATCATTTCTCTGGGGAAAAGGCTAAGTGGGGAGGAAGTGGTACAGCAAAAGCAGCACAGACAGGTGTCCTCAAGGGTTAACCAATGATCCCCAAGGTAAAGCTGGATTCAAGGTCAAATTACATCAAAAACTTCTCCAAGAACCCACTGAGAACAAAACAGAAAGAAATGAATAATAAGGATCTGTAGGAGACCAGAGAAAGGGAACCACTTCTTAGAGCTAGATAAAAGAAAGCTAAGATTTAGGGAGAATCCATTCTTCCTCCTAAAGATGCATGGGCAGTACTTGCTACCTTCCTGGTATGTCTGTTCCCAGGGAACAGTGTCCTGAGTGAGTCACACGTGACATAGAAAGGAGTGGTCAGGGTGTGGAAGGTAAGTTTCCATTCAAGTTCAACAGGTTTGGTTTCACCTACCCTCATTCTGCTATCCCCACTAGATGCCTTGGTGGAGACCTTCTTCAAGGATCCACGGGGTGAACATCTAAAGCCCCAGCTTTAGATCTAGGGTAAGTTTGTTTAGATATTTGAAGAGACTGAGGCTCTTCACAGCAATATTGAGGTCCAAATCAGGGTGAGAGTGACGGGAAACACAGGCTATTTCTTGTGGGCATGATGTCTTCAGGAATGCCCTTGCTCCCAACTCTTTGGGGTTTTTGATTTTGTACCAGTGGAAAATGAAGGGGCTGATGATTTAAAAAGTCCTCTCCCAACAGATCCCTGAGAAGGTGGAGAGGGCATTCCAAAGCTTGGAATCCCGGCTTGCCCAGGTAACTGCCCGTAAGGAGCGATGAAGCAGTGTCGGTAACTTCGAGTAGGGTTTCAGCTCCCGAGGCTTCCAACGTCTGTCTCCGGAGGCTAAACGCGGTGTTTCCGTGACCGTTGGGATCCAGGCACGACGAAAGCGCGAGGATCTCGGAGCTCTCGGCACCCTCCAGGCTGCGGTATCGGGGGACACGCGGGCCTTCGATAGCCCGCGCAGGGCGCTCTGCTTCTTTGGGGCCAAAGCGGAGCCTCTGCTCTCTCTGCTGCCGGCTGCACCGCGCAGCGCAGGGAGAGCGTCAGAGAGGAAGCTCGCGGCCCCTGGCCCGGGCGTCCGCTGCGACTGTCGGGGACCATATGGCCGGGGTCCACCGAGTCTCGAAGAGCTGGGATCAGGCTCCAGCTACCTTCGGTCTCGGGCGGCCAGACCCAGGGCCCTGGAGAGGATCTGTCTGCTCGCATCCCCTTGGGAGTCCAGGTGGGGAGCGCGATCCCAGTCACTAAAGGAGTGGGAGCGGCGCTTACGGGGGCGCAGGACTGGAAACCGGGACAGTGGACCTGGGAAGCCCAGACTAGCAGTCGTGGCGCGGGAGGGCTTGGGGATTGGAGACGAGGTTTGCTGATTGGGGATCCTGGTTCCTCTCGTTTCTGCAGCCCTTAAAGCCGCCAGTAGATGCCAGTCATCCGCCAAGAGGACCGGCTCCGGAAGCAGCCACCTCCTGGACCCATCAAGGCCTCCCAGAGCTCAAATCCAGGTAGGCCTCCTGTCCTTCGCACGTAGGGGTGCAGGGGCGATCTCTACCTGGCCGGGCCTAGGAGGCTTGGAAGGGGGAGGACTGGATATCACGTCTACCACCCAGAATCAAAGCCCTCCGCAGGCACGTGGCTCAGTCCCAAGCTCAAGCCATCTTTCGATCTCCACTCCACGGTCCCCACTCAGCCCAGAGGGGTCTGAGTGTCCGGAGGAGAGGAAAAACGTGAACGTCTGGATCCGCTTTTGGACAAGATGGCTTTTTTGATGACCTTTATATAGCCTTTCTTGAAAAAGCCACATTCAATCCATGATTTTATTGTTATTAGAAGGAGTTGTTTTAGTAATCTTTTCTAAAATTATTTCTTTTTTTTTTTGGCGCAGTAGTCAGACGCTCCCGGTGGACCGTCTTACAACAAAGACCCAAAAAAAACAAGCGATTCCATTATATATGGCCTTCTGGGACCCCGAACATCAAAGGCAGAGTTGAGGAACCAGACTGAAGTGGCAAGGGGAGAGAGAGCTGGTTTGGAAGCAGCAAGGAGTTGCCAGACCTGACCCTGTGAGAGCCTGAGCCCTTCAGGGCTGATCAGCTCAGGGGTGAGCGGTGTGAGGCAGGCAAGCGGCCAGGCTTGGGAGGCCCGTTTTAACCAGAGGGAGAGACCCAGCACCAGAGACTCTACAAGGCCACCCAGAACCAGTGAGAAGCAGCCCTCCAGGAGAGATAAGTACTTGCTACAGCTTACCGCGGGGATCAAAAACACCTCCCTTAGGGAAAAACCTCTCTCCCATTTACCTCCCAGCTCCCTGCCCTGCACTGTGCCCCGGACCAGCTTCAGCAATTGCCCAGTCCCCTGGGCGGGAAGTAGGATCCGTCAAATGCCATGAGCCATTCTCCTTGCCTTGGAGAGTGAACAAAATTAACAAACCGGAAAAAATAAACTGCCAGCTCCCCTAAGCCAGGAACCTAGGGTAGGCACACCTCCTTCGCCTAGGCACAGGCATAAGGAATCCACGGACTCTGAGCACCTTACACCCTGCATAGACTTGTGTGGGCCCATCTCAACAGCGTAGGCCCTCATTACCACGGTACAACAGGGTATATACCACAACTCTAACTTCAAGTGGCAGGTTCGTGACATTTGACACTGCTCTGCCCATTAAGCAGGGTTTTCACCTACCCACATCAGGGGCCTGAGGACTGGTGGCTCCACCAACACCACCTAGCCACCTGCGAGAGGGCCCCATGAATAAGAGGTGCCCCCCAGTCCTTACAGCCAACAGCATTAAGTGCTCATAGTCCAGGGGTAAAACCCACCTACCTACGTGCTCTAGGGAACAGGGACACCCCTTCCTCCTGGATACTTGGTGGCAGCAGTCATCCCCCCTGCCTTGCTCAGTGTGTCCCCCTGCTGCAGCCAGATGCCTGTGCCTACACCAATCACCCATGCCTGTCTAGGACTGTAAGTGAGAGTCTACACCACACACGTGGTGGCTATCTACCTGAGTTCCTAAGCTGAATCAATACAGGAGGAGTGGGTGGACTCCTGAGCTCACATACCCCGTAACAGATCTAACTACCTGGTGACAGGACATTAGGGCTTCAAAGCTGCCAATAATCAAACCAGCTCATACAAGCAGCCTATTTGGGCATATCCAAAAAAAACAAGAAATTGGACACAGTAAGCAAACCTAAAATAAACAAATATAATAACTTATTGATGGCTCGGAGACAATGGTCAATAACAAATCACATAAAGAGGTAATCCATGATGGCTTCAGCAAGCTCCCAAAATAAAGAATTTAGAAATCTTCCAGAGGAGGAAAATTTCTTGGAATTACCAGAGGCAGAATACAAAAGATTAATATACAGAACTTGTCAAGAAATTAGGAAGGTAATTAAGCAAAATGAAGGATATGCAATAGAGGAAATTGCAAAGATTAGAGAAGAGCATAATGACAAATTTAACAGGCTGCAAGAATCCATAGAGAGACAGCAATCAGAAATCCAGAAGATTAACAATAAAATTTCAGA